TAAATTTAGTTATTTAAGCATTATTTTTATTTTACAGAAGACTTGGCCGTTAGGAGAATGACAGCCTCACTGTTGGTCTGCCCACTTGGGGGGTGCTGTTTAACAAGAACAGAATTTCCAGGGGTGGCATGTTTTATAGACTGTATCAGCCAGAGCCTAAAATGAAACAGAAGAATCAAATCAAGAAGAGTTTATATGTAAATGGACCATTAAAAAGATGCAGGTGTAGAACCACAAGGCATTATGCAGAAATGGAGAGGGAGGTTGATATCAGCAGCCTAGCTATAACCAGTTGTGGGCTCAAAGAAACAAGGAAGGAACACTCTTCAAACCCTAGAGGGAAAGAGTTAAAGTCAGGGGTGTGGAGAGAGGCAGAAATCTTGCACTGAGAGCCCTACCTAACCTAATGTAACCCATAAGGTAGGGTTCCCTATCTCCTGCCGGATTCCTTACCATGTGAACCCCAGAAGTCAGAGGAGCTAGGAAACAAGCCTTCTGGTACAGAGAGTGAGTAGACGTGGCAAGAGTACAGCTTGGGGAGGGGGATAAACCCAAAATATCCAATATGCAGCCTGTCAGGACTGCTTTTTTGGCTGAACATTCTGTAGCTGGAGATCACAGATGAGCGGCAGGTTTGTACTCTCCATAGCAGTTATTGGTAGGAGAAACAGCTTTCTGGGTACTGTGAATGGCAGATTTCTGACACTCCTTATCCTATCCCCAAAGCAAAATAGCTGCTGAGACTGCGGCTTATAATGATGCTGTCCAATGCTGATGCTGTCTGGCCCATTTGGATTGGGTTCTTGCACCCATTCGTTTAAGGATACTCAGAACAGATGTCCTTTTGAAATAGAGGCACTGAATGTCTGAGTCATATTAATTTAAATGTTAAAAGGCTTATAACTTTCTTTGTTCCCTACTTGGAATAATGGGACATACTAAGCTCACTAGATCACTGTAGTAAACCAGGCAAAGATGAGAGTGTAGACAGAGGTAGAAATGGAGAGGAGGAGACAGATTTGAGAGACTGCAAGGTATAAAAACAGCAATACTTGGTAATCAGTAAGATGTGGGTGGTGGGGAGGGGTCCACAAGTGCCCTGAGTGGCTGAGTTGTGTGACTAGGTGGATGGTGGTGTGCAAACTTATGCAGGGATCTAGACGGGAGCAGGTTCAGAAGAAAAGATGAGTTTGGATGCTGAGTTTAGCTTCTCTGGGACAGTCTGGTGATACTCATGGGTAGATGGACATATGGATCTGGTGCTAACATGGGTGGCCTGGGAAGGAATGGAAAGGCACAGAAGGAGTCAGGTAATAAGTAGAAAAAATGAAGGATACAAAGAGACCTAAGGGTAGAGTTCTAGGGAATACCAATACTTATGAGGCCTAGAAGTTAACTGAGAAGAACCAGGCAGGTGGAAGAGGAAAATCAATCATGAGGGGCTCCTGGAAAATAAAGAGCAGATTCCAAGAAAGAGGAAGGCAATAATAGCCCATGCTGCAGAAATAAAGGAAGAGAGGATGCAAAAATCAGTCTTTGGGTTGAAGGCCACTAATGACCTTTGGCAGCAGTCTTATTGGGGTGCTGGGGTGAGAGGCTGGGATGCGATGGAATGAGGAGCGAATGAATTCTGAAAGCGCAGAGGTGACAGAGCAAAGGCAGTGTAGACCATGATCCGTGAAGAAGAGCAGAGAAGAGACACGGGCTGCTGGAGTGTTGGTAAAATACACCTCTCATAAAATTTACCTTCTTAGCCACTTTAACTGTGTTCACACTTTTGGGCACCCATTCTCCAGAACATGATGAGAATCTTGCAAAACTTTAGACAATAAGGGAAGGACCAATACAGTGTGAGAAATGGAAGGTGCTGGAAAAACAAAATTTCTAATGCTCCAGGAACTTATTTAAAAAGACAATTTCAGCAGTAAAAGAACAAATATCTTTAGCTATAACAGCTCCCACCTCTCTTAAGTGCAGTTTTTTAAAAAAATTATACTTTCCGTTGCAAAACAAAACCCCACAATAAATTGATAATAATTTTTGTCTAGAAACAAGACTGAATTTTTAAGATGTTCCAGGCCTTTGATCAGGCACCCCCCACTGCCATCTCTTTTGTAAGCTATTCTAGTGTGAAGAGGAAATAATATATAATTAGCTATAATATTTTTATGATGCCAAGAAGCTGTGTACACTGGACAATATGCTAAAATGGCAGCACAGAGTATGCTACCATAAAAGCAGTAAGCGTTGTTGAAGGCTTGTATAATATGAGTTGAGTCCTAAAGCTGTTTCTATTGCTATGTATTCAATTCAGGTGAACTTCAATTTAATTAATTAATTTATTTATTTTTTTGTCTTTTTGAGACAGGGTCTCCTTGTAGCCCCAGCTGTCCTGGAACCCATTATATAGACCAGGCTGGCCTTGAACTCACAGAGATCTGCCTGCCTCTGCCTCCCGAGTGCTGGGATTAAAGGCATGCACCACCACACCTGGCTTTCAATTTTAAATTAAAAAAAATAAATTTACTTATTTATTTTGGGTGGGGGGTTGGTTGCATGCCATGGCACATCTGTGGAGGTCAGAGGACAACTTGTGAGTCAGTTCTCTCCTTCCACCAAGGGTTCTGGAGATTGAACTCAGCTAGTCAGGCTTGGTGGCAGGCATGTTTACCAGCTTGAACCACCTTGCTGGTCCTGAGCTGTCTAAGTCTGTATGAAATCCTAACTGATCAGGTTTTTACCTCTCTTGGTTGAATCAGAAGTTGGGTATTATAACATCATTTCTCTCTTCCCCCTCCCACTATCTTTTCTGAAGAAGTCAAGGAGATGGAAGGAATTATGTTTTTTTTTTTTTTCCTCTGTGTGTGTGTGTGGGGGGGTGTTTGGTTTTTTTGTTGCTTTTTCTTCATTTGAGGATTTCATACATAAGTACAGTATATTCTAATCCTTTTCACCCCCTCTCCCCCTCCAACGTCTTCCATGCCCTCCCACTACCCCCTGAAGGAAAATCAGCCTGACAAGTGACTGAATGAACTGACTATTCCCCCACCCTGCCTCCCCACTCCAGGAGGGTGATAGTCTATCTCAGAACACATGGCTCCTAGCCAAAGGCATCTGGTTTCTTCTTAACAGCTTCTTTGCAGTTCTGGTTCCTTACCACCTGGAAGAAGATACTGGTTCCCCTATCAGAACGCCCCATCCCATCTTCCTAGATCAAGGAAGGAGCAGGACACCACCCAAGATGGCATACCCCACCTTCTGGGATTCCAGGAAGGCAGGTCCCCTTCCTGGGACTCTCTGGATTCACCTGCAAATCTCAGACCTTCCCCGACCCCAATACCCAGCCTCCATTCCCTCGGGAAGATTACCTACCCCTGTAGCTAATAAAGCCATCTGCATCTGTTGAAGGTTGGATTCCATTTCTACTTCTTTATCATGTCGCCTTCTCATCTTGAATTCTAATACTCCCTCTCAAATTCATGACCTCTGTGCACACACACACACACACACACACATGCGTGCACGCACAGGGCCACACAAAACCCCTGATGCCTTAGGATTGGGGTCTTGCCTCTGGAAAATAAAAAACAAAAAAAGAAAAAAAATCTGGTTTTCCCTCCCTCAGCAGCCATCAACTGCCTGTAGCTCTTCATCTGGGGGTGGGGCCTCAGGCTCTTACACACTACCACCTCTCTTCCATGATGTTCCCTGAACCTTAAGTTTATGGATTGTGTTATAGATGTCCCAATTAGGACTGGGAACCTCACAGCCACTTGAGAATGAGACAGTTTTTGAGGGAACCTTTAGTTGGCAGTATCCGAAAGAACATGCATTTTAATTTCATTTGAAATAGAGCACTGTTGCCGAAGTGATAGTAACATAGGTAGGGTCAGGTAAATCCTGACCTTCATCCACTCCAGATCTTTCCTTTAATCATCCTCTCACATGCTTTTTCTACTTTGTTTGTTTTATTTTGTTCTTTCTTTTTCTTTTTTTCTTTTTTTTGAAGTAGGGTCTCCCTGTAGCCCCAGCTGGCCTGGAACATGCTATGTAGACCAGGCTGGCCTTGAGCTCACAGAGATCCACCTGCCTCTGCCTCCCCAGTGCTGGAACTAAAGGCATGCACCACCATGCTCAGCTCATTATATATTTGTTTTGTTGCTCTCTCAATTTGATAGTTTGGTTTCCATCCTGTAGTTCACAGGCTATTTTGTGGGCATTCTATTTTTCAAGTTTTTCCTAAAAACAGTAGCACAGAGTCATACACTCACAAAGATTGCTGGTATTTGTAAATATTTTATAATGTTCCCTAAAAATGATGTTGTCATCATAGGACAAATATCAAACCAATATTCATTGGAAATATTGTTTCAACTGGCCTTAGTGAAGGTATTCAGTAGATTTTTTGATTTAGCATAATTAATTGTTCTTATAAATACAAAATCCTGTAGTTATGCACCATTTGGTATATACAGAGAGGCTTGTTATGCAGCCCCAGATTTATTAAATCATCTAAAATTCATTGAACATATACTATATGACAGGTAATACAAGGTAACAAAGATGCCCAAATTAAAAAAAAAAAAATCAGTCCTTGCCCTTTTAAAAAGTACAGCTGAAAGTGTAATGGAGAATATGTTTTCTATATGATTCAAAGCAATTGTCAGGGGTCACAAATTTAATGATTTTTATGTATACACCTTGAAATTTACATGGCCGCACTTGCATTGGGGCCACCTTGCAAAGTCTGAAAGTGGCAATCTATGGGACACTGGAGATTAGAAGTTAAAGTTGGGGAAAGGTGGATGACTTTCATCCCTTCGGGAGCTGGCAGACGTTTCTTTCTCTGTGGTCCCATCTGGCTTTACAGCCAATAATGCAATAATGCAGCCCCCACCCCACCCCACCCCCGCAGCCGCACCCAATTGCTTGGAGGACTGTGCTTCTCCAATGAGACTGGGAAACGATTGATTGCTCATCAGTGGACTAGAAGTGTGCCCTTGCCTCCCACAGGTGTTCGGTGAGTATCAAGGTTATGCGTTTCTTGTTATGTCTTCATAATTGTAGAACACAAGTAGCTTTTTTTGCCCACAAACAAGATGACTTTTTCAAGCGAGGAAAATGAATTTTCTGTAAGAAAGCGGGGGGTGGGGGGAGTTGAGAGCGAGCTTTGAACACATACCGCTTCAAGAAAAGGAAAAAAATTGCAAGCCCAAGAAGCTTTGGAGTAACTAGGGAAATGGGCTGCCCAGCTCCTCGGCCAATCTGTATTTCTAGTCAATGAAAAAGACATAGATAGGGTTTGAGGTTCCTTCCGAAACGGGGCTGGCTAATTTAGCCCCTCCCACAAGCCCTAGGGTCTGTTATATCTCTGGTCCTTGAGTACCTCTCTCACAGAAACCACCACAGCAAGCAGAGGCTGCAAAAACAAAAACTCCAAAGACAAACGAGGAAAGAGGAAGAAACAAAAAGCTGCTACTTATGGAAGATATAAAGGGTAAGACCAGAACTGATTTGATCCAAACCCTGAGAGGAAAAAAAAAAAGCCCAGACCAAAAGCAAGTGCTTGAAAGAGCAGGAGGCAGAGCGCCCTGAATGAACTTTCCCAACTCGCCTTCTGAGCGAGGCAGAGAAAGAGCTTTGGGAAACTGTTAGGAAGCAGAGCTCAGTGTTGCAGTCCAGGGAGCTCATGAATATTCATCAGCAATTGGTATGCAGATCTGGTTTTTTAGCGGCAAAGGACTTCTTTTCGGTCCCCTCGTACCTTAAGAGGCAGCTGCTTCGTCTACAGTGTGGAGTCATTCAGCCTCGGTTTGGGGTCCGCTGCACGTTTGAAGATGCTGGGTTCTGTGTGTAGATTTGTTTTGTTCCCGAGTTTCCTGCGTGCTTTTCCTGTTGTGAAATGAGCAAAGGCTTCTCTGTTGGGAGTTGGACAGACTAGTTAATGTGGCAAGAGATTGTCACAACAGGATCCTAGAGTATGTGTTGTAAGGAAGGCGACAAGCTTCTCTCTCTCTCTCTCTCTCTCTCTCTCTCTCTCTCTCTCTCTCTCTCTCTCTCTCAAATGTGAGCCCCAGGTAAGAGAAAACAAGAAGGAAACTCTCTCTCCTCGTCAGTGTGGGGGGGTGAGAAGTAGAGAGGGGTGGAAGGAAGGATAGGAAGAGTTCTTTCTTTAAAGAACAGGTCCTATCTGACTGCCTACATTAGATTTTGTCTGGGAAACTACAAGACCAGCCCGGTTTGCAGGAATGGTGTGCAGTCTCTGTCTTTTACCTCTTTTGGGCATTTTCTGCCAGGACAGAGAGCCAGCTGCTTGCCAGCCCTTGGGAGCCAAGAACAAAGGGGGAATGTAGGGTCGCAGTCCTCCTCTATCATCACGAACTTCTAGTATGCTCACAGATTCTTATCACATAGAATGCAGAGGAACTGGAGGGTTAGTCAGCAGATTTCTTAATAATTAAAATAAATGATAGCTGTGTGGTTTACTAAATCTTGGCTCTGTGCTGGGACCTGTTCTGTTTGTTACATGTGCTGCTCATTCCTCACATCAACCATATAAGGTAAGTGCTATCCTTATCATCCCCTGTTTTCCAGATGACAAAGTGGAGGAAGGAAGATGGTAACTCACCTGGGCCTCCTATAATTAGGAAGTGATAGGTGTGGATGCAGGCATGCCCCCAATGTCACTCTGCTCACAAGGCATTCTGGTACCCAGATGCTGGATCACTGGCTCTAGGTCTGCAAATCCCTGAAGCTACTGGGGAAGAGACACTGATGAAATCTTATCTGTGAGGGAATTTGTATTTTGCAACTAAGTTCACATCACCAACTTCACTTAGTGTTCATGGTCATTCTTTATGGGAGAGAGGTGGACAGTGTTATTATGTATAGCCTTTTACAAAAGGGAGAAACTGAGGTTGGTGGGGGATGGTTAGATGACATGAAGCAAGCATCTAGCTGTCAAAAAGTCTAGATCAAACCGAAACGTACTTCTGGTTTCTCTTCTGAATTGGTGTTCCTGCTCCCAGCTAGTGCTCACCAAGCCACTTTCAGTTCCGCAGGGAACTGATCTTTCCTCCTGCCCAGACTGCTGCAAGCCCTTTCCTTTGCCTTGAAGGCCTAGCTGACCCCTTTTCTACTTTATTTTGGAGCCAACATAACATCCGTTTGAGTCCCTGCTCTGCTATTTTTACTGTTCTTCAGTTTTCTCCTCTTTAATAAGAAGAGAATAATACCCACCTCGCAGGGTTGTAAGGACTCAGAGAGATCCATGCAGAGTTAATGTGTAGTATGTGCTAGTTGTAGGCTGTTGCTATTACGCTTAGATTTTTCTTGAGTATTGCTCTTCTGTTAGTTCTTTTCCAACCTGTTGAGCCTAGGTCATGACCTGCCTTGGGTGTTTCTACTATACCTCACCTTGAATACTTAAAGTCACACCCATCATATCTACCTGGTTTTCTGTTCTCTCTGTTACTTCCCACCCTCAATTATAATCCTACATTCATCTTTGAATACACACTATCCAGTGCATCATTTTTTCAGTCTTCAAAGCCATGTCCTCTCTATTGTCCATTGTCCTTGCAAGCAGAGAAGCAGAAGAGAGGCCTTTGCCATGACAGAGGGGTGGAGTGGGGCTGCTGGGGGTGCTTATGCAGCCACTCTAGAAGTCCTGGCTCCAGAAAGCATCCAGAATGTGGACTGACCCTGAGTACCGATTCAAAAAGAGCTTTGAGACATGCAGTGGTTTGTGATTGGGGCAATGGTTGCACAACATGAGGTCCATAGCAGGTCTCTGACATCCTTATTATGAATCAGCTTGGTGGTCAGTCACAAGCCACAAGGACAGGTCCTTGAAGTTGGTGTTTGCCTCAGAGAAAATGCTGAACTTTGTCTAGAGAGTGGTGCACCCCAGGTTCCTGTGCAAGTCTAGAAGGTCCTTGTCAGCTACAAGCACTAGAGCTCCTTAACGGGCACTTGGTCAGAATCTAGTTAAGCTGATGTTTACTCAAGTGTCAGGAGGGTTTAACCTTTGAGTTTGCAATAGAGCTTCCTCCCTAGTGATGTATACAACTCTTGCACAGCTGGCAGACATCTTAGGTGGATACACAGAAAAACAAAATGCATCCTCTCTGGGGGGATGATCTTAATTGCTGATGTGACTTCTTGCCAGGGTGTTGAGTTTGGCCAGTGCAGCTCTGGATGAACTTCAACCTCTCCACTCAGCCAGAGACCAAACTAGAGATTTTTAGATGCCTCCTAGAATACCTTTACCGTATCTGAACAAAACATCTGGTTTGATAAACATGTCTCCCTAGCTCCACTTCAGAGAAACCTTACTGCCTGAGACGGTGTACTTGGTAATGAAAGAAAAGCAAACACTGCAGAGACTGGCCCTGGGTAAAATCATAAAGGACATTGTTTGTTTCCAGCACCCTCTGTTTCCTCTTCCTGGCGTACCTTCAAACCAATTTGACAAATATTTTTTGTCTGTCATTTGTAACTCCCTATGGCAGCTCCTAAACAGTTTGCTCATGATCTAGAAGGGTGGTAGACACACAAAACCAATTCTAATAGAAACCAGACTGTGGAGTACTAATAATAGCCAACATTGATTATTTATTATATGCCAGGCACTGTGATGTTCTATATATGTTGTCTTATGCAGTCTTCACAACTCTCTGATATTAGTTTCTGCATGTCACGGTTATAGAAGGAAGCAACTCTGCCAAGTCACATGGCTGGTTGGAGGCAGAGGGGGATTTCTGACCATGTGGTCAGGTTGTAAAGCCTGAACTCAGAACAGATGAGTCCCACCTCCCAGGAGCCACAATAGCAGGCCAAAGACAGTGCCTTGAGAAACGGAGTGGAGAGTAATGGCTTCTTGGACAACTTCTCAGAGAATGGGCTCCTTTCAGTTGGACCTGCAAAGATAAGTAGAGTAAGGCACCCACAAGAAGCCTCTTCCCCATTCAGCAATGCCTATGGACCTTTTATTTTCACTAAAGCTACAATCTAGATGCAAGAGTAAAAAGATCATTCCATTTTCCAAGTTCTCAACAGGACCTGTTTGCATCCCACCCTGGAGATTTGAAGGCTGAAGTGCAGAGTTGAGTGAGTCTTGATTATGAGTTTGGGATTGCCAATCATGTAATCAAATAAACCTTTACAAAGTAATCAGCTGCATATTAAATAATTTCCTTAATCATGATTTTTCCTGTATAGTAATAAAGTAAGTAAACCACAACTGTGATGGGTATTGCTTTTACTCAGCGCCATCACCTTTTCAGAGGATTTTTCTCCCTGTGTTATCATTATGGTTGCTTCTCTGCTCTCTATAGTCAGTAATTAAAATCAAACCCTCCAAGGCCAGGCTTGTTTAACTTTACCTGGGCTTGTTCAGATGCACTGGGCTTAGTCTGTGCAGGGTAATGCTGAAGCCTGGGGAAAATTGCAGTTTGTTTCTTAAAACATGTTGGAGAGAGGACAAAATCAGGGGAAGCTTTGGTGATGAAGAATCATCAAACATTTTGATGGTTTGCTAGAAGTGCAGAAGAGGGAAGGCACTGGCTTATTCTTGGGATGTGTGTGTATATTACTGGGGCAGTGTTTCTCAGACTTTCACAAGCATGTACATCATTGGAGAGCTTGAAATTCAGACTGTCTTTAAGAAGCTGTGGGATGGGGCTGAGATTCTGCAGTTCTAACATGCCCCAGGTGATGAGAATGCTGGCCCTCCATAGTCACCCTGACTGGCACTTATGCAGTCATTATCTGTCTTAATCTCAGGGCTATTTTAGTGCCAGTAGATCAGCCCCTTCCCCCTTCTTCACCCCATACCCCCTCAGCTGCCATGTGGAATCATTGGTCAGCTGTGTTACTGCAGGATAAGAGAGAGCCTAATTCATTTGTTCTTTAGCAAATACATGTCCTAGAGCAGGACATTCAGGCCTCCAGTGTGCTATGTCCTAGAAACATGTCTATTTTCAGCACACAATCTGTTGCAGAACTGAAAGGCCTTGTGTTGGATTTCCTAAATGTTTTTACCTTTAAAAGAAAATTTCTTTTTCTAATTTGTGTGTGTGAGTATGTGTGTGTGTGTGTGTGTGTGTGTGTGTGTGTGTGATCATATAGGTATGTTGCATGAGTACAGGAGCCTATGGAGGCCAGAGGCATCTGATCCGGTAGAGCTGGAGTTACAGGGGGTTGTGAGCCACAGATGTGCATGCTGGGAATAGAATCCGGATTCTCTGCAAGAGCAGGACGTGCTCTTAACTAACTGCTCTCTGAGCCGTCTCTCTAGCCTCTACTTTTACCTTTTCTCCATGACTCTCCTATGGTTTCAAGGTTCTTGAAGTTTCTCTTACTCTCCACTTTCAGCTCGGGAGCATGTGTGCCTACCTGAATATCCCTGTAATGGGTGTTAGAGTTTCAGGGGAGCTGGGGCTACAGGGATTCAGGGCTCTGAGGTCAGGCACCGTAGGCCAAGGGCATTGTCTG